TTCTTCTCTTCTTTCTTTCATATTCTCACTGAAACCAAGTAGCGTCTTTGATGTATTTTGTGTTCTCACGTGATTGAAATGGAGTTGTCCATTTTATATGAGGTATTGTCAGGAGAGGTTAAAGACTTCTATCTTCCATTCTTTCTTTCATTTTCTCATTGAAACCAAGTAGTTTATTTTCTTCTTTTTCCCACGTAATCAAATCGCAAGAATCGATTAATTACGCGGTATTAGCAGGACATAAAGGTCGTGCGAACTGACAGAGAAAAGAACAGGCATTAATATAAAAAGCATTACAAACAGATTTACTCGGACTAGCGTCCTCGTCTTGTTCGTTATAGTCAAAACCTGTGAATTTTGGATATAAGGAATTATCATTATTATACATTAGTTTATACAGACAAGCGTCTTCGTTCTTGTTCTAGACACATCGGATGAATTTTGGAAATAACCAACTATTTTTATACACTGATTTTCTCAAATTCTTGTCCTCATTGTGATTGTTGCAACGATAACCTGCGAATTTTAGCGATAATAAATTAATATCACTTTACAGTTATTTGTTTCAACAAGTTATAGCAACTACGTTTTACTTGGACGAGTGCTCACAATTTTCTTGTTATAGTTAAAATGTCTAAATTTTGGAGATGAGGAATTATTATCATGCATTGATTTATTTTGGATTGCCGTTCTTTGTTGTCCTAATTATAATGTCTGAATATGGCAGATGAGGAATTATTAACATGATCTTTGATTTACTCGAACTAGTGTCTTTATTTAGGATGTTACCATTACGACTTTTCAGCCTCTGTCTTTCTTCAGGCATCTGTCATATTTGATAGTTAGCTTGGCAAATCAGCGCGTTAGACAATGCGATTCCTTGGATCATTATCATCCCTAGACGATGTCACAGGAAATCTTGAATTTGTTATTTAAACCGAGTTAATTCTTCCGTGTAATGTTGTTTGACTCCTCCACTAAATGAAATTGTATATGGACTTTTTGCACTACTCGGCCCACAGAAGTAGTACTTGGATTAATCACTTTTATGCACTAGTCTATCTTTCCCCATTTATTGAATAAAGTGTTTCGTTCAAAATTTCCCGTAGATTACCAGCCACGATAGAGAGCTAAACAAAGCCGGAGGATAAAGATATTGTGACGATAACCCGAACGATGAATGGATAATTGTAGACTACGATATAAAACTACCATTTAACTCAAGAGTAAGCCGAACCATACCAAATTTCCAACTTCTTGAAATGTAAACCAGACCGATGTCTCTTTATGTAATAATTTATTTTGACCTTTGTAATATAAGATTTATATTCTGTATTAAATAACCCAAAAATATTTGAATTATCTTTAAAGTAACTGACATTTTTTATAATCATTTCACCCCAAGCAAGGCAGAATTTCCAGTAGTACACAAGGGGCTAAAGAGAGTGTAAGGGAAAAGAAAGGGTATAGGGGGAATGGGGAAAGGATAAAAAGACCGTGGGGGGGTGCAAGGCATCAGAAAATATTGATTGACATTAGATTAAAAATTTTGAAAATTATAGTTATCACGGAAGCAAGTAAGAGGAAGGGAGTTCCACTGTTAGGAAATGCAAGAGAAGAACGTCTTGGAGCAGCGGAGGCGGTTACATTTAACTGTTTCGACAATAAAAGAGTGGGGCCGAGATGCCAAACTAGTAGCACGCTTAAATTCATGCAGTCGGGGCACCAGTGAAAATCGCTCGTCAATGCAGATGTCATAAAAATATTTATAGAAAATACAGAAGAAGCAGGTATCATGCTCTCATGGGTCCTTACAGAATGAATTCTTCCTAACACTATGTATACTACGCCTCTCAAGAGAGAGGGACGAATCGAGTCGAGCCGATAGTAGTTCACTCCAAACCAGACTGACAGTCATACTAACACCTTCCACATCTTGTATTATTATTGCGTGTAATATACCTTCGTTATTTCTACTCTTGTGTTCGTGTTGTTCTTCATTGGTCCTAACCGGGACCATAACACATACATTACTTGATAAAAAATATTTCTGCTGCATCTGCTTTGGTGTTGCTGCTATGTAACTAGAGATTCTTGATACAAACCAAAGTAGAATGTGCAATAGCATTAGTACTGACTGTCATATTGACTTCAATTACTTTCCAACCACCATAACGTAGCTTCGGTGTGCCTTACGTTCAGTCAGGATATTTTTTTCAGACAAGCTTTCCTCTTTGGGACATCGATTCTATGAATTTATTAGAACAACTAGATTGGTTGCTAGGTTTCATCCTTTTATAACTGAAATTGATAGATGTATCCGTAAGTTCTATGCTAATAGTTTCTTCAATCGAACTTCTCGCGTTTGATAATCATTTTATATTAATGATAATACATCTAAAAAAAAGTTATACAAAAAATTATGATTATAACGACTGTAATTACATTTGATGTTTAGTCCTTTCTTCATGCTCTCCTTTCATAGCTTAAGTAGGAGTACCTAAAGTTTCCTTTTTGTGTCTGCTAAGAACACTGTTATCTGCATATCTGATGTTGCTAAGAATATGCCCGATGATAAATCCTAGTAGGACTCCTAGTTCTCTTCGCAACGCCTCGCAGTAAAGGTTAGATGAATCAGATGAGACGAAACATGCTTGTCTTATTCCCCTTTCTATTTTTGTGTGATTAATCAGTTAAATTTCTATCCTTAAACAAGGACTTTGCTTCTAATGTAAATTGTGGATTATTCTATTATATTCACCAAACAAACCATTTTGGCCTAACAATTGAAACAAATCTTTGTATCCGACTTTCTCAACTACTTTTGCATAGTTTGGTAATATTGTTATACCTCTTTTCTGTATTTGTATTGTTCTTTTAAATACCATCGAAATTCTTGTTCCCGTGTCTTTAACGAAACTTTTCTTGTCCGATATCCTGTCTAATTCTGCTATGATGACTAAACATCTTAATTCGGATGATAATCTTAGTATGTGGCTCATTAAGCTGATTTTCCAATGGAGATCGCATTCATTTGCACCCGGTTTCATACAAAGATGGATTTCCTATGGTCTTCCGTTATTTCGCCACTGTTTTTTTTTTTTTCATTTATTATTTCTCCGATCCTGTCGATGTCGAAATTGTCTAAGGTTGATAGCATTTTTATCACAATCCCTGGCCCTGTTGCTTTTTTATTCTTCATCTTATGCAGTGCTATCCAGTGCTGATCTTCACTGAAACATTAATATTACAGGTGTTTCCATAGTTTTGCCCAGTGCAGATTTCCTTTTGTCATTGGAAACAAGTTCTCTAACGTATGCGTAACATCTTTTAAGTATTTTTTAATAGTATGATCGTTCTTTCTTTTATTATCACTCGATTAGCAAATCTTTTGTACTGTTATTTAATTTATTCTTTTATGCCTGTCGGCCTTATCTCATAGTTATTCATTCTCACGGTCTATACACGTTCCGTTGACTCCTTCCTCTGTTGATTGCCTACATTTGTTTTTTATTTCTATTTTTTTTTTTTTTAAGCATTTCACCCCAAGCAAGGCGGGAAGCCACTAGGACGCAAGGGGTTACAGAAAATAGGAAGATCAGATAGGAGTGATATAAGATAGGAAGAGGGTAGTAGATAGATTAGGGCAACTGGAGATGTCGATTGACATTACACTTGAATAGCTGGAGATTATAACTCACAGGGAAACAGGAGAAGGGAAGAGAGTTCCACAGGCGAGAGGTGCGAGACATGAAGCTATTAGAGTAGAAGAGACGGCTACATTTAGGAGTTTCGACAGTGAAGGGGTGAGAGCGGAATGCCAGCCTCGTAGGGCGCTTGAACTGATGAAGTCTGGGAACCAGCGAATGCAGCTTCTCGGAGCAATTTCCATGAAAGTATTTGTAGAACAGACAGAGGGAGGCGACGGTGCGTAATTTTCTATAATCTGTACCATTCCTTTGCATTGTTTGCTGTCTCTTTTTCCATATGTCGAGAATTTAATCTGCCATCCGCTCTTTTTTTCTCTTGAATCGTTTTCTTTATGATGATCTCATTTGCAGATGTTACTTGAATGTGTTCCACCTTGAATTTCATGTATCATTTAGTTCACTGTATTTACATTTAACGATTTCGGTGTATATCTGTTGGCATTGGGGTCATTCATGCGTCAGATTATACTTGACTGCTGTTTTGGTTTTTTTAAATTTTCGTTGTTTTATTCTGAGGCAGCATATGGCTGAAAGGTGGTCACCCCTGCAGTCGCCGCTTTAATATATTTTGCAGTATAAACCTATATTTCTAAATTTTTATTGCTTATGTAGGCGATTTAGTTTTAGTATATCCTCCTGGGCTTCTACATGACCACACGCGTCTTGGGTCTTCTCGAAACTAGGTGTTTTTTTCGTTTGCTGTGTACCATTTAACCCATTTTTTACCGTATTTTTTTACTGATTGCTAATCCGAACTTGTCGTCTATTTCACCGACTCATTGATTTACTTTCACATTCAGTTCTCCAATGTCACTGGATTCTCCACTGGTCACGCGATTTGTATTGAAGCTTGGCTTTGTCCAGTGTACTTTAAAACATATTAATTTCTTCCTCCGCGCTTTGTACTGTCATTGTGTATAAAACTGTAATGGAAATAGTAAATGGATTTCCTTTCAGATTAACCAGAAAAATTCTGTCAGACAGTTGATAAGTCCGTTACTCAGACAATATCAGAAGATATTCCAGCAGTAGGTTGCCGCTTCTTTCTAAAGGTAGACTGGTTGCTAATCATGGCTATAAATCCCAGTTTGTACTGCTATTCAACCCATAGCGCGGGGGATAAAAGATTCATTCATACATTTACTGGAATTCGAATTTGGCTTTCCGGTTTCTAATTACTTGCCTTTATTCAATACACGACAACGCGATCATGCCTCACCACAACGTCCTGCCTATTGTAGCTTTAAACAATGTTTGACTCTTTACTATTTCTCCTTGTCCCCGTTCAGCTTACGGCCATATCACGTTGAAACACCTAATCCCGTACGATCACCGAAGTTAAGCAACGTCGAAACTGCTAGATGGGTGGGCGCTTGGGAATACCAGGTACTGTAATCTTGGATGTGCGGTTCGTGTAATGGATAATGTCTCGGAAATGTAAATCGGAGGGCCGAGTTCTAGTCCCTGTTAGGTTGGTTATATTCACTTACGCGAAAGTACGTTTAGAAAATGTATGAATCCAACTTGTCTGTCCCAGCTGTGGACATATTAGTAAGACTTGTATCATTAAAATCATTATTATTATTTTCTTAAGCTTTCACAATTTAAAAAAATATTTTCTGGCTTTAAATAAACTGCAAGGGGTTGATAAACCGTAATAAATGAATCAACCAACCAACCAATTTGCCCCTTCGCTGCCCTGCACTGGTACAAAGTAATTAAGTTGTTCACCACTTTTTCTCTACCCTCTTTCCATTAGCACACCCAGTGGGTATTAATTGTTTTTAGCCGTCCTTTTTTTATTGAGAGATATTAAACATGTTTTTAATAATTTCACGACAAGTAAAGCAAAAAACTACTAAGACACAGGGGTGGGTACTGAGTGGTAAAGAATAGAAGAAAAGAAAACATTATTAAGGAAAGAAAATAAAAGAACAGGAATTAAGACAGTAAATAAAGGAAGAAGACTGAAGATAGTTTCACAAGTGACAAGTGCGAGAGAAGAAACTGTTAGCATAGGACTTGCGGCACGCTGAAAACGACTGTGTTTTTGACCTGGCCACAGCATAACCTTCTAGTACCGTATATATTCGCGTATAGGACGATCGCAATATAAGCGAACCGCTTTATTTTATGTTTGAGAGACTGGTATATAAGCCGAGATATTCGATCAAGGCATTATGTTCAGATGGCAATGTTTTGTAAAATCCAAATATTGAAAAATTTTTAAAGTGTCATTTAATATATAGGTTTTGCTTCACAATTCCTGTACACAATTATTTTTTATTATTTTGTCCATTTTAAAAAGACTCTGCTAGTTCCGTGATTTTTCATTACTTACTTAACTTGCCATATTCCACACGTAACAGGTTTTTTTTAATTTTTAATTTAACATACAAAGAATAACTGATCACCTGTATAAATAAATATCAATTGATATATTTAATAAATGAAAATTTATTGGAAAACAAGCCAATTATTTTCTCATAGAAATGAAAACAAAGCCTGTGGGCACTAAAAATATTCTTTAGAATGCTTCTAAAATCTAAGCAAAAACAAGCCTTTCATCATAATGCAATCACAACAGAAAGTCTGGCGATGTTTTGTTTTTTTTTTATATTGAAGTTGGTAAATAGCAATAAAATAATTTAATAATATAAACCTTACTGATTTGTGTATATTTTAAAGCAGTGATCCCTAAACTGCGCGGCGCACCTCATATGATCAGCAAAAGAGGATAGCAGGTGAGGCGGAATGATTTAACGACAATCAAATATTTCAAAAAATTCAAATGCCAACAATAAATATGATAATAAATATTTCAAAATTTTAAATATTATTATGGATTACTTGTAATTGTATGCATGAGTCCCTGTATAAATAGTTATAAATAATTATTGACCGATTTTATCAGTGATATTTTTTGGATTATATCAAGTATTATAGTAACTAGGGTCCTCAAATTGGAGGAGAGAGTTATCAATAATGTTCTGACTTTGAATCCGTGGCGATCTTTCAGTTTTTTTGGAGTTTTTGTTTTTTTTTTAAATTTTTTATTGTACTTTTTATCACAATAAATTTGGTGAGATTCGAGCAAAATTTTTATTCAGAAAATGCGGTCCAGAGAAAAAAAAAGATGTTTGGGAAACACTGTTTTCGAGTATCACTAAAATTACTTAACAGGAACAAATTGTTGCTCATTATTTTTTTTTATTTTGACTTGATGTATTTACAATTAAAATATTCTATTGGAATCTTTAATTTAATCTCTTTGGTTTAGTTTCTTTGCTCAGTTAAAAAGATGATAGATCCCCCTAAGAAGCAAGGGCTCGTAGCATGTAAACTATAAAAACAAAGGTAAGTTAATATGAAATACAGATCAAATATGGATCGGAATCCGATAGAATAAGATAAAGAATAATAGTAAACGTTTATCAGTCAAAGAGAATGAGAGAAATTATGGTATTTTTACTTTTCCTTTTTTGATTTGCATTGGTTTATCATGTCTCACGTGCATTCGTTCTGTTAACTAGACATTAGCATAAATTATGGCGTCCCGAATTCAAGGAGAGACAACACGCGCATTCGAAGTTCCAATAAATCAATGGATTTCAAGCCTACCAGAAAAAAAAAACAAGAAAAAATTGCTTTATGTGCCATGCATGATATACTCTTAGGCGATCATGTATCTTTCGATACGTGACTGAAGGGGCAGATTTTTTCCACGCAGTAGGTTGCCATTTCTTTCTGCGGTAGACCAGTTGCTATTCAAGGCTATAGAAACCAGTCTCTCCTGCAGTCAGCAGATTGGAGGGGATTAAAGAAGAAGATTATACCTTTCCCAAGTTTATTAGTACGTAAGTGAATGTAATGGATTCGACTGGAATTCAAACTCGGCTCTCCGATTCCGCGATCCGTACCGCTATTCACTACTCCACCCAGGAAGTGTATAATAATTCTAGATTGTCTATATGGAATTCAGAGGATAATGCATATTCGTAAGTGTGTAAGTATGTCTAGGAATCATTATGTTCATTGATTTTTCCTACATTGATTTCGGAATGTTTTTACGTATATAGCGTTTGATTTTTTCAGATAAACATACGTTAGTTTCTTTGTATTCAATAAAGGTTAAAAAAAAAAGACAAAAAATAGTTTATTTACCGGCAATACTTAAAACAATAATCAACATCTAGTGGAGAAGATTTATATGAAGTTTTTTTTTTTATATTTTGATATTCAAAGTGATTTAGGTGCCATTTATAGTAGATTTGTTTCATGACTTTTTTACTCAAAGTTTAAACAAGTTTCTCAAATTGCTGTCTCGTTCTGGATATGACGTTAAACTATTCCGTATCCTGGGTAAGACGATAAACTACGTTCGAGAGCAAGGTCTTTGATCAGACGGTTTCGAGGAGCGTGTAACCACCTTTTAATTACTGGTGTTCCCAGGTCCACCCAGACCTGAGTAATAGCTCCTGTCAGGGTCCCAGCTATGGGCAAATAGTTACTCCCCGCCAAAAGAGTTAAAACACTATGAAAGTACAAAAATAGGTTTTAATAGTAGTAATACATTTTTTTAAAAAATTACCAGCAATACATTTTTGAAAAAAAAAAAAATTACCAACAATACATGTTTTTCTAAAAAAATATTAACGGCAATAAAAATCTAGTCGGCATTAAATAACCCATTGAGGTTGATATGCTGTAAAACAAAATAAACCAAACCAAAAAATACATATTTTATTTCTACAAAGCTTTCCTAAAAATCTCGTCGGCATTAAATAACCCATTGAGATGTTGATATGCAGTAAAACAAAATAAACCAAACCAAAAAATACATATTTTATTTCTACAAAGCTTTCCTAAAAATCTCGTCGGTATTAAATAACCCCTTGAACAAAATAAACCAAACCAAACCAACCAAATTGTTGTTTATTTCCTTTAAGTGGACAACAATAGCGGCATCTTCCAAATGTTAAAGAATTAAATTTAATATAAAATTAAATGAAATGCATACCTTAAAAACCTTGGAAATCATTTACAGTCCTTCTAGAATATCATTTATTGCAAAGTGATTAAAGATTTATATACTTTACTTGATACACATATGTTGCAAAATCGTAAAAGAACAGACTGTGCCAATTAATTAATTTAATATATAACATTCACAGAATAATCAAAATAAATGAATTGTTAAATTCAGAAAATTTTAAATCTAAAATCCTTCAAATTAGTATTATGCAGGATGCCGCTTAAGTCTAGGCAAAAATAAATATTTTCAAGAAATTAAATTTTCAAAAAGATTTTATTGAATTGGAATATTAACAAATATCATCTTTAATATGAGTTTCCATCATTTGTGATAGAAAAGTTTATGTGCTTTGCAAGATTCACGTGAACTCGATGCAATAACTCCACATTGCCGTCAATTTTCGCACATTCACTCTTTATGCGTTAAATCAATTGTGTTGCATCTGTGATTTTCATTGGGTACACCTTCTCCTTTAGCATAACCCAGAAAAAGGCGACAATTATTTCTGCTTTCGACAAAACCATGTTTAATCTGGGCAAGTAAAAAAAGATATAGTTAATAAGATTTCCTACATGTCCAGATATTAGGGACATCCTGTATAAGTAGGCTGAACTTACAGGCCAAATAAACGATAACGGCACATGTGTACTGTTATGGGATCGTACCCGTAATAATAATAATGGACTATTCCATACTTAATAAATACTGCGCCTCAGGAATAGGCAAGAAGTTAGTAGTTCAAGTTTTGAACCGACTGCACGGTTAAACTCTCTTCCTACGGGCAGGAAACCTGAAGGAGGCTACGCCGAAGGGTGGAGTCTCCTTCGGGGGAGGTAAAACCGGCCCTGAACCCGTTTATACGGGTTCAAACGGGCTATTTTTTGGCCGGGCCTAATGGCTCCAGGAATGCCCACGTTAAAAAAGGCCTTGTGCCACATGACACCCTCGTGGGGGACTGAATATTGTTAGTAGTTCAAGTTTTGAACCGACTGCACGGTTAAACTCTCTTCCTACGGGCGGGAGGAACCCGAAGGAGGCTACGCCGAAGGGTGGAGTCTCCTCCTTCGGAGGTAAACCGCCCTGAACCGGGTTTATACGGGTTCAAACGGGCTATTTTTGGCCGGGCTAATGGCTCGGGAATGCCCCACGTTAAAAGGCCTTTGTGCCACATGACACCCTCGTGGGGGGTGACTGAATATTGTTAGTAGTTCAAGTTTTGAACCGACTGCACGGTTAAACTCTCTTCCTACGGGCGGGAGGAACCCGAAGGAGGCTACCGAAGGGTGGAGTCTCCTTCGGGGAGGTAAAACGGCCCTGAACCCGTTTATACGGGTTCAAACGGGCTATTTTTTGGCCGGGCC